ATCCATTTATAATCAGCATGACAGGCAGTAGTTAACCAGACCTTAATATTTTGAATTTCTTTTCCTAAATATAAAACTGTTTCTTCTAGGGCATTAACTCTATCTACCAATTGTTGATCAATTTGTTCTTGTTCAAACATAGCAGTAGAGATGTTTAAAACTAAATTATTGACATGGTTAGCAATATGAACTTATTGAACCAGGGCAGTAGCCGAGGCAACAACGGAGCCTATGATAGCAATCAAAGCAGTAATTCCTAAAACAAGCGCAGTAATAAAACGTTTCGGGTGGGACAATTGGGAATTTATAACTTGTAGGGAGTATAGGCTTGGGTCAGAATACCAAGGCTGTGAAAGATTGACAGGGAGCATCACATGTGACGGCCTGCGAAGCAAAAAGAAATGGGAAAAGGTCGTGGAAGAAGAATCAAGGCAATTGGTAATTATGCAATTAGAGCAATGTAAAGAAAGCAAACAAACCATTTTCATGAGAAAAGGAGACTTGGTCTGGGGAACAGATAGCTAGAATACCATATGGAGCTCGCAAACAGGAGCGGAGAAAATATTTTTGAGGGCCAGAGGGACGATGTAAGGTAACAGGACCTAAAGCTGCAAAAAGCCTATAAATATGAGACTGGTAGGTTTTAAAATTGGAAGACATGTAACTGGGTGTAATCCATCCGATGGAAGACCAGCGGTGAAGAGGAAGAGTTTTCCACTGTGGACCTAAGAGGGTTACTTCACAGGACAGTATGTCCCAATCAAACCTATCAGTATTAGAAAGAAAATAGGGGTAAAAATCATAAGTAGGACCCACAACTGACCAATCAAAGAGGGAGAACATGGAACCATAAGGGCATAATGCACTGTATGATTAGGATATACACAGGATAACCAAACAGGAAAGCCGATACGAGGAGAAATACCATCCCAACGCAGATCATCTGCAGAGGGGCAAGGCTGTAAAATAGAAGGGGGTTAGACTGTAGGTGCAATACGAAGATCTGATGCGTCAGGGTTAACTAAAGAGTTAAATACGAGGAGCCATGTTTGTCTAAGAGTAAGAGGGTCCCGAGGAGAACATGTGAGAGGGTTACGAGGTGAGTCTGAAACCATAGCAATTAAAGAGATAGCAGCACAGAAGGGTAATGGCTTAACCTCAGGTGCTGAAAAGCAAAGAGGAAGTAAACTGGTAGTGGCTTTAAAGCTGACCAAAACAGAAGAACGGGGGTTTTCCGACCCCAGTGGGTCTCCTCCCATAAGTTTGGAGTGATTAGATCTAACAACAATGTCAGGGTCATCCCAGTTTGCTAAATGGAAAATAGGTGGGTTAGGTACATAGGACCAATAAGCAGGTGAAGAATCAGCAGTGCTTACCTGGAGAGAAAGAAGGGAGACAATAGCCAAGAACACTGTTTCAGGAGTAACAGGAGAGTGGCAAGATTCAAGCATGGAAAAGGCAGCAGCGGTGAGAGCTTTTAGTTGTCCCCAGGTAAGCAGGGAAGACTCGCGGGTGGATGAGGAACAGCGAAATTCTCTAGTCAGAGAAAGACCCGATGTTTGTGAAGTAAGATGAACAACTGTTGGTAGAGTTGCTGGGACAGGCGGAGGGGTCCATCGGCGACAAGGACGAGTCAATGTCCTGGAGCGGTGAGACCTTTTCGGGGGATTCATAATGTCGGATGAGACTATCAGGAATCCACACAGGGGCAGTTGAATCCTGGGGGAACACGCAAGCATAACCTCTGCCGCTAGTCAACAGGACATCAGGACCCCTCCAAATTCCTGAAAGCAGATCTTTCCATTTGACCAGGGGCAGAGGGGGGTGAGCATGTTGATAATGACGTTGAGCAGCTGAAGTTCCTTGAGAATCAAGTTGTAAATGATTAAGCACAAAAAGAGAGTGAGGCAATATATGGTGAGGTGAAGAATATTTAAACTCTGAGGCCTGTAACTTGACAATCTGTTCAAGTTTTGATGTGAACACTCAATTATAGCCTGGCCTTGAGGGTTATAAAGAATGCCGGTAAGATGTTCTATGCCAAATGTTTGGCAGATATTTTTAAAACTTTTAGAAGAATAAGCAGGGGCATTATCTGTTTTGATAGCTGCCGGCATTCCCAACACTGAAAAGCAAGCCATTAGATGCTGAGAGACATCCTTAAAGGCCTCTCCAGTACGAGCAGTGGACCAAAGAAAATGAGAGTAAGTATCAATACAAGAGTGAACGTAACACATTTTTCCAAAGGAGGATACATGAGTAACATCCATTTGCCAAAGGGAGTTAGGTTTTAATCCTCTGGGGTTAATACCCATTGCCTGAGAAGGAATATGAGTGGGGCAAACATAACATGAGCGTACAGTGTGTCTAGCCGTTTCTCTACTTAGTCCAAACTGATGTTGAAGAGATTTAGAATTTTGATGATGAAGTGCATGGCTAGACTGAGCAGCCTCAAGGGCAGTATATACTTTTTTAGTTAGCAAATCACCCTGATAGTTACCGTGACTCAATGGTCCTGGTAAGGCAGAATGAGCACGGATATGTCCCACAAAAAATGGGATAGTGCGAACAGAAATAAGATTCTGTAATTCCTGTAAAAGGGAAGAAATTGAGGACTTTCCCTCAGGCAAAGGAGCAGTTTCAATTACAGGGAATAATTTTGCAACATACATTGAATCAGTATATAAATTAAAAGGTGAATCTTTTAGAAGGGAAAACACTTTTAGGACTGCATGAAGTTCTACCTTTTGAGCTGAGGTTTCTGAAGTAAGAAAAGTAATGGGCTCATTTTCAATGATTAATGCAGCGGTACCATTAGAAGAGCCATCGGTAAACACCATTTTTGCAGGAGGGGGTAAGGGAGAAG